TTAATAATTTACCATAAAAACACAACATTAAATTGTTTTGTGGCTCCTCCTGAGATTACAAGGTTTACCTGATCACAAAAATAATTTTCTTTTCCAGATGAACAAGGACCGTGTTTCGATGTAAAGACAACCGAAGAGCCGGCGCTCAACCAAGCGGATTTGCCCCAAACAACTTATGACATAGGTTAGTAATAGTTGTATTTTTTTCAATGTCAAAACAACTAATTTTGTTTTACATGATTGACTTTTTTGCTTAATCTTGAAATCTTACATTTCATAATAATTATTTCATAATAAAGCAAGACTATACAAAATCTTCATGTAGGCAGATTTACAACTCCACCAGCACCCATGCAAAATTGACAATGTAAATATCAATCTTCTTACAGATATATCAAAGGCCAAGGACCAGATTAGTGAAATGGACGACTCTGGAAAATTCCAACTTCTTCAGACCAGAAAACCACCCAAATCTTTCAATTTCCCTGCCAGAGAATTTAAAGACAACCGAAGAGCCAGTGGGGTGACCAAAAGAACATGCCAGAGGGACTGGCTGGACAAGTATGACTTTTTATCATTTTTACATCATATAAAGATGATCTACCGTCAGGATCAACATTCAGGCAGGAAGTGAAGTTGTGGCACACAAAGTGGTCATCAGTGGAAAAACCCTAGCCTGGCGTAGTCCGACTCAATTCTAGTCAGAATATGAGTCTGATACTGCTCCATAGAGTTGTGATTATGGGGCGTGTTTTGAACGAACCAGGGAAAAAAATGCCTCTGCACTCAATTGGATAGACCTACAACCAATAAGAGCAACGGAGTGCGTGACGTATGTTAAGCGAGGCATAGTTGTTGTCCACAAAAATCAAAGCGTGCAGTTTCACGCCTAGAATAAGAAGATGAGACTTGATCGCGTTTCTCTGTTCCTCTTTTAAAATTAATTTGCTGTCGATATCTTCTAGAACAGACCTAATAGCAGAATCTACTCACCCAAACTCTCCAGCGGCAGCCATTATTGTTGTCACCCTAGCGCGCTTTGGTCACGTGGTTGATTACGTTACTCTTGATCATCTGTCCATCATCGTATAAAGTCCACCCTGACAATTTGATTGGATCGCCTGACAGTGGGCTTTAATACTAGCGCTACTATGGAGCAGAGCCAGACCGAACTTCCCCGAACTCAAACCTTGTGGGCGGGACTAAGTTCTGACTGGCACCCAGGCTAGAAAAACCCAGCTCTCTCCCTGAAATTCTAAAGATAACAAATATGAAGTGCTACCCAAACATTTATATGATTCTTCACCTTCTGTCAGTCATACCTTTTACCAGTGCTTCTGTGGAAAGTGCTAAGTCGGGTCTTAAAGCAGTGAAAACTTTGCTGAGGTCAACAATGGGACAGGAAAGGTTTGTGGCTTTGCTACTTTTGTATGTGCACAAGGACATTCAGTTAGACATCAACAAAATCATAGACATATTTGCCCAGAAGCATCCCAGAAGGTTGACATTTGTAAATTCATTATCATCATCATAAAGTTTGTAGTAGAGAACAATATTCTTTGTCTGGTTTAACTTTGTTTTTTTTTTTTTTTTTTCAACAGTTTATCTTGTTAAAATATATTCAAAACTCCTTTGTCTTACTTGAACCATACTTGAACCCAAGTCCTTGTTTTTTGTTTTTTTTTTTATTTAATGTTCTGTGTAAATATCATTTCTGGAAATAAAGAAACTCCTTGTTTGATTAATTGTTGATAAGGATCATTTTTTTCTTCAAACTACCTTTTAACCTTGTGCATGCTTTAAAAACCGAGAGATCCTTTTTTAATTACAATAATGTAATCATGCTAATTCTACTTATGTTCATCCATTAAAATTATCAATTATAAACCCTTGGATGAATAATTAGGGTAGCGTGAAAGAGTGAAGATGGTATTCTTTGGTCTTTTAGCCTCACATAGTCTTGACCTGTGACCCTTGACCCCATGACCCTTAGGTGCGCACCCCCCTTTGAAAAATCCTGGATCCGCCCCTGATGATGGAGTGTGCATGTATGGGGCACGGTGCGGCCAGGGGCGTCAGCTGACCCAGCACTATACAGGGCACAATAGGGCACCAAATAAAATGCGAGCACGCAAAGCACACAAGCAGAAAATTTTTGGGCAATTATTTATTTAAAAAAAAAAACATGGTCACAGATAATTAATGCAAGCACGCGAGCAAATATTTTGTGGCACTTATTTATTATTATATAGCGTCATAAATAAATTGTACAATAAGATTGTTATTTTCTGAATCATTAAATATCTACCTGAACCAAACTGAATTGAATTGGCCCACTTGTGAACTTAACTTTATATTTCTAATGCACTGCTGATGAAGGCCCATTTTATCTTCATTAAGTACTTGAAAACTACCTTGAAATGTGCAACCGTAAAAGGAAAAACAACAAAAAAACACCTCTACATACATACTTTTAATTTCTATTCCAGCCCATCCTATGATGGTGTGATGATCCTTTGAGGTGTGTATATTATGGCCATAAAGATGGGAGAGCTGTTAGTTTATTTTTTAACAGTAAACGGTAGAGTCTTGGCCAGTGGCTACTGGTGGAGTTTTCTCCGAAGGGGGTGGGGGTGCTATAAATTCAACATGTATATACAGTATACGTATACTAAGTTATCACACCAGTATATTTATGTGAATGCCAACAACAAAAAACATTATAAAACAAAACATAATTTCATGAACAGCTTTACATTTTGTACATAAATCTTGCCCTTCTGAGGCTTTGTGAAGGTAAATCTGTGTTTTGCATGGTCCAATTTTATTTCACAAACCTAAAGAAATAATGTACCAGTTTAATAATAGAGAATCTACTGGTCATTATTATATTTTTTTAATATATAAAAACTGTTTATATTCTTAGAATGTGAGCAACTGTCCAGATTAATAAACATCTACAAGAAGTACACTATATTCTATTATCTTCCATGTGAATACCAGATTCTTGGCCTTTTCTAAAAAGTGCGGCCGCGCGCTGGACTGGAGTTGTGACAGGCAGCCCAGGGCCACAGGCGGCTACGCTCTACCCCTTCTATTCGTTCAGCTAGCTAATCTGAACCATTCAATTCCATTTGGAGAGCGAGATCATCCGTGGTAGTAGAACTAGACATCTTCCAGGCATGTGAGTAACACTAGCAGCAGTTCAGAGGACAGGATGAATTAATGGTAGCCGGCGCGCGTGTGTCACATCACACACACTCCGCTTTGTTTTTAAAAGATATAAATATAAAAAATATAACCGCGGATGTCTGGGGGACAGTGATTTGCCTACATGTTATGAATGCTAAAGTACCATAAAGAATACTTTATGAACAGTTTAGTTTGTGCCTTCAAGTCGTTGCCCATAGGAAGACATTACTTTGATATAACCTAACGGAATATCTTCAGAACAGCTCCAAATGACACAAAACTCATATGAGTGAGTAGAACATGATGTAATAATGTAAAATGAAAAAAAAAAAAAAAAAAAAACGTTCCCCTTTAGTAACCCTTTTTTCCTTTTCAAGTTCCATACAATTTTCATCTTCCATTTCAGTAAGTGGCTTAACCCCGTCCTCTGGTGAGTGAGGTTTAGAAAGACTCTTTGCCATGACATCTTCACACATTTTCATTTGTTCAAACTGACACAGATGAACCCTCTTTTAAAAGTTTAAGCATTCATGATTTATTTAATTTCCACAAATGATAGGTATGCATTCAATTTGAGTTCAATGTGGCATTGCTGGAGAATTCTCATTTCAATTAACGTCATTATGCATTCAGCTATGATTCTGGTTGTTGGGTAAACATTTGCTCCGTCAGGGAGCATAAACGTATTGTATCATTGTCTTGGAGTTGGATTGTTGTGTTATCCACTTGACTTGACCACAAGCTGGCGATGTTCTTAATGCAGTTTTTGATGAAATTTTAGCACAATCTTTCCAATAGAGATGCTTGGTTCAGAAGCATCCAAGTTAGACTCACTTCAGCGCTGTCAGATGGTTTTTAAAGTGACCATGCAATTATTTTGCAACTATTTGGTTCTGGCCTGTACTTTTCACACTCAATGAAATTGACATACAGACCAGCCCACTGGTTCACTGGCCCAAGAACATGAATAGAGGTAGATGTAAGACACCTGTTGAGCCTTTTTCTGTTCCAGAAAATGTTTCCTGCCCACTGTCTCCAGCTGCTTGCAACCACTGATTATTGAACTGAATCATATTTTCAGGGTAACATATATTTCTAGGTGTTATTCCCCCATTTCATTTCAGAAATAGTGGAAGAAAATGAGCAGAAACATCACGAACATGAGATATATTTCTCAAAAAGTAAGCTAAATAAGGTGAAGGCCTCCATGGGGCCCTGAGCAATCAACGGCGCAGTGATCAGATCATTCACACACATACAATAAACTTATTGCAGCTCTGTTTACAATCTCCTATTTATATGCTAAAAGTAATAAAGTAATAAACTAAACAAGTATGCAGTTTATTTACAGTAAAAGTGTCACATGGTTTATGCTTTTAGGTTCCAACTGCAAAAACAACAAACCAATAAAATGGCTTTGATGGATAAAGAATAATATTTTACAAAAATAGAGACAATTATCTCAAATATGCAATCAAATATCTTCTTAAAAATTGTAAACCGTCTTTTTTCTTTGTTTCAAATCATGATTACGAAATAATTAAAACTATATTGATGTTCAAAAATGCACAATTTAATCACAGAATTGTGTTATTGCTACAGTAATATTAGAGGAAGCATTATGCATGCAACCAGCAAAGAAACAGGTTATTGTCTTAGGGGAGGCCTGGGAGCCCCTAATTGCCCTAAGCAGATGCTTAGTTTGCTTATGCCTTGGGCCGGCCCTGAAGATTATACTAATATTTATACTTCCTATTGTCGTAGTGAGGTCTGGACTTACCCTTTTCTACATTTGATAATAAACTTACATCACATTCACAGTTATGTGGACACTTGACTGTCTGCTTCGGCTTGGCAGTGACTGTGATGTTTCCATTACTCTCCTCCTCTTCCTCCTCCTCCTCCTCCTCCAAAGCCTCAGCCCTGCTTCGGCAGCGTAGATCTGAGGATGAAACGGCCTGTAGCGGCTCATCGGAGAGGTGAGGAGGTACTGCACAGGCTCCCAGCAGTTTTACTCCAGCCGTTGCCCACTCCTTCAGCGGCCTCATGTAGCAGTCACAGTAGATCGGGTTGCCTTGAGGAGAAATCACTGTTACTTTACAGTCATTTGGTAAAGTAATTCAAACCTTAAACGTTTCCATACCTCATTTCAATACAAGCATAAACTTCAGTGCAGTTTATTTAACATTTATATGATAGACCAAACTAAACAGTGTGTGGAACACAGCAAACATACCAACACAATAAATTTGAACTAAATTTCAGTTTTTAAGGTTAATAATTCGGAGTGCTGCAGGTTAAAGTAATAATCTTAAAAATACATTAAAACTGTATTGATGTGAGATTTTTGTTTGTTGTACCATTTAATGGCGATTAAAGGCTTTTTTTGCTGATACATGTAAAAAAGAAAGTACAATAGTCTAAAAGATAAGAAATAAAAGCATTATAAACGCCCTCAAGATAGTGTTATTTCCTAGTTTGGATAAAATTCCCAGATAATTATGACAGTTTCAGACAACTGGTTCAGAGTTAAGTTCAAGACATTGATTGATCTGAAACAGCTCCTTTGTTTCATAAGTTGTGGCAGGATGGGGCTGATCAGACGAAACCTGGCACTTCTTTGAGTTATATTTTTAACCAGTTTCTTATTTCTTTTGGACCATAAGGTTATTCTTATAATTTGAAGATTTAAGAAATTTTAAACTATAGTACAACTGAGGCTCATCTGCATAAATAGGTGATGAAAGATGTTATTAATAAATAAATGATCTCCCAGAGGAAGTGTCTAAATATAAAAACGGGGCAAAACCAAGCCTCAGAGTTTACATAAGTAGAAAAAACTTGGTCAAATGAGTTTAGGGTTTAATATTTTCACTTGGGTGGGGCAGCTGAGTAGGCAGCGTAGTTATGACACATCTTGATGTGCCCTTGGGCACAAAAGGCATTTAACCTATGTTGGCTGCTGATTTGCATATCTGTTAGCAAATTTGCTCTGGTGTAAAGTGCTTTGAGTGCTTTACACCAATATAGATCAATTCAGTCCATTTAACTCTTTACATGTACAGGTGCTGGTCATAAAATTAGAATATCATGAAAAAGTAGATTGATTTCAGTTATTCCATTTAAAAAGTGAAACTTGTATATTATATTCATACATTACATACAAACTCATATATTTCAGATGTTTATTTTGTTTAATTTTGATGATTACAAATGACAACAAATGAAAATCTCAATTTCATCATATCAGAAAATTAGAATATTGTGAAAAGGTTCAAAATTGATGGCCCCTGGTGCCACACTCTAATCAGCTAATTAACTCAAACCACCTGCAAAAGCCTTTAAATGGTCTTTCAGTCTAGTTCTATAGGCTACACAATCATGGGGAAGACTGCTGACTTGACAGTTGTCCAAAAGACGACCATCGACACCTTGCACAAGGAGGGCAAGACACAAAAGCTCATCGCTAAAGAGGCTGGCTGTTCACAGAGCTCAGTGTCCAAGCACATTAATAGAGAGGCGAAGGGAAGGAAAAGATGTGGTCGAAAAAAGTGTACAAGCAAGAGAGATAACCGCACCCTGGAGAGGATTGTGAAACAAAACCCATTCAAAAATGTGGGGGAGATTCACAAAGAGTGGACTGCAGCTGGAGTGAGTGCTTCAAGAACCACCACACACAGACGTATGAAAGACATGGGTTTCTGCTGTCGCATTCCTTGTGTCAAGCCACTCTTGAACCACAGACAGCGTCAGAAGCGTCTTGCCTGGGCTAAAGAGAAACAGGACTGGACTGCTGCTGAGTGGTCCAAAGTCATGTTCTCTGATGAAAGTAAATTTTGCATTTCCTTTGGAAATCAAGGTCCCAGAGTCTGGAGGAAAAGAAGAGAGGCACTTCATCCACGTTGCTTGAAGTCCAGTGTAAAGTTTCCACAGTCAGTGATGGTTTGGGGTGCCATGTCATCTGCTGGTGTTGGTCCATTGTGTTTTCTGAGGTCCAGGGTCAACGCAGCCACATACCAGGAAGTTTTAGAGCACTTCATGCTTCCTGCAGCTGACCAACTTTTTGGAGATGCAGATTTCATTTTCCAACAGGACTTGGCACCTGCACACAGTGCCAAAGCTACCAGTACCTGGTTGAAGGACCATGGTATCCCTGTTCTTAATTGGCCAGCAAACTCTCCTGACCTTAACCCCATAGAAAATCTATGGGGTATTGTGAAGAAGAAGATGCAATACACCAGACCCAACAATTCAGAAGAGCTAAAAGCCACTATTAGAGCAACCTGGGCTATCATAACACCTGAGCAGTGCCACAGACTGATCGACTCCATGCCACGCCGCATTGCTGCAGTAATACAGGCCAAAGGAGGCCCAACTAAATACTGAGTGCTGTACATGCTCATACTTTTCATGTTCATACTTTTCAGTTGGCCAACATTTCTATAAATCCTTTGTTTTTATTGGTCTTCAGTAATATTCTAATTTTCTGATATGATGAATTTGAGATTTTCATTTGTTGTCATTTGTAATCATCAAAATTAAACAAAATAAACATCTGAAATATATGAGTTTGTATGTAATGTATGAATATAATATACAAGTTTCACTTTTTAAATGGAATTACTGAAATCAATCTACTTTTTCATGATATTCTAATTTTATGACCAGCACCTGTAAATGCTAATAAATGCACCATCCCAACAGTGAACTGTGGTGCACATAGCATCACACCGAGGCAATGCTTTCTTTCTGCAGGTTTAGGGAAGTTTCTAGGACTGGTGGGAGGAATACTTGAATAAATACAGAGTCATTCTACACACACTGTATAAAAGCAACAACTTGGAACTGGTGCAGAGGTTCCTCTTCCAAGAGTGTAAAACATTCAGCCAGTGGTTTAGATCAAAGTATGGTCTGTGGAATGGTCCACTAAAAGTATGGATCTAAAGCAATTAAAACTCAGTTGAAAATTGTTGTTCATTGACATTTCATTAAATCCAGTCCCCACACTGTTTGGATTCGTATTTGGAAAAACATTGAAAATCATAATTTTTTTTTCTTTCCTGTCCATAAATATATGTTTTTGTGTCAGTTAACCATATAACATTTCAATAAAATACATCAAGCTTTGCAGAGGTGTCAAGTAACAAAGTAGAAATACTTCATTATCTACTTAAATAGAAATTTTGACTATGTCTTACAGGAGTAATTATTATTTTCTCAATTTTCAATCAACTTTTTACTTCTGCTCCTTACATTTTTTGGCAATTATTTCTACTTTCCACTCCTTACATGTTAAAAGTAGACTCAGTAGTTTTGTTTCCTTTTAGCTCATTTTCATTATGGCCTGCTGGTATTAACAAATAAATCAAATGGTAAAAAAAACATCAAAATAATTTGTTTCATCCAGACAATTAATTTCTTTGTGGTTGGACTCGGTATTGCATCAACTTGTTGTTCACCACATCCCAAAAATAAAATATAGTTTTTCAAGATGGTGAAATTACCTTGTAACCGTTACTATTAGTTATAGTACTAAGAAAATTAAGTATAAGAAAGTTATCATTCAGAGTTGCAGAAAAATGTTTATTTAATAGGGTAGTGCAGTAAAGCATCTGTCCTTAACATTTTTTCCTGCATTACTTTTACTTTTATACTTTAAGTAGTTTTAAAAATTGTACTTTTACCCAAGTAATAAGCTTAAGTTGATACTCTAACTTCTATAAAAGTGTTTTTTAAACAGTAGGATTCCTATTTAATATGCATAAATACTTTTGAGACCTCTGGAGCTTGGTACTTGCAAAGGACCCCCCTTGCTCAAGGCCAGACTGTCGACTGAGGCGGACTGAAAGTGAGTGCAGAGCTACAGCATACCGGTGAGGTTAAGGATGTGCAGCTTTGTTGGGCCTGAGAAGGGTTCAAGATATCGGAGCTGATTGTGGCAGAGGTCAACATGGGAGAGGAGCCGGGCCTGGGAAAATGCCTGGTCAGACAGGTCCTGAAGGGACATATGATCCAGATAGAGGTGTGTCAGCTTCCCCATCGACACTGATTCTTCTCCCAGGTATGTCATGGGGTTGTAGCTCAGCTCCAGCCGTTTCACCTCACGGAGCCTAAAAGGGAAGAACAAATCTATTGTTAATCTATCTCTCTTAAATAATCAAGTTAAACTTTATAGTTTTCCTAAGAATACTGAAACTCCCTCTGTGTTCGGGTCATGGTACTACATCAGTGTACGACCTTGTCATTGTCTGGGTGGGGAAGAACTGCAGCTCGTTGTGATCCAGGCTGAGGCGGCTGAGACTGAACAGCCCAGCAAAGGCTTCAGGTGCCAGGTTACTCAGGGAGTTGTAGCTGAGACGAAGCCACTTAATGTTCTGTAAGCCCTGAAGGAGCACTAGTGTTACAATCGAATAATGCGTCTAACTGCATCAACGCTTTTAATTCCATCAGTGCATTTAAGTACCTGAAATGCCATAGTGGGGATGTAAACCAGACGGTTGTGGGCGAGGGTCAGCATGTTGAGAAAGCCGAGCTGCATAAAGGCTCCAGGCTGGATCTCCTCGATGTGATTATGATCCAAGTAAAGCTCCTTCAAAGATGAGAGGCCATCAAAAGATTCCTGCAAAGAAATAAAGCAAATGTTACTTTTTGGTTCCACCTCAGATAAAATGCAAAGAAGGAACCATGTTTTTCCTTTTTCCCCTTCTCACCTGGTAAAGGATGTCGATTTTGTTGTAAGCCAGGTTAAGGGAGACCACTTGACCGAGACCACGAAACGCACCCTCCTTTACTGTTAAGATGTTGCACCTCTGCAGACTAAGGTGGGTCAGATGCGGAGTGTGGAGGAATCCACCTCTGGGTAAAATACGGAAGTTGTTGTTCTTTAGATCCAATTTAACGGTTATCTGTAGGAATAATACGTTTTCAGTTTATTTTACTCTTAAAAGTCTAAATACTGAAGTAAATATGCAACCTACTAAAAAAGGTGGACGGATGTTTTTGATGGTATGAAAGGCTGAACAAAAAGATGGTATTATACATGGATGTCAGAAATATGCACTGATGGATGTTGGCCAAATGGACGATGGAAGAACAAGCAGATAAATGCTAATAGGTAGATAATAGTTAAGAGGGAAACTTTTGATCAAAATAAATGTACATTTTCAAACAAGACAGATGCAGAGGTAGATAGAGCACCCAAAAATTCACTTAGATAAGAGGAATATTACTTTATCATGTATTTATTAGTAAATTGTAGCTATCTAAGTAATTACTCAAGTAAAAATAAAAAAAGTAACTGGAAAGATGGATACTCAAATAGTGAGTAACTGTCGGCTCATAGCATCTGATTTGATATTTAAAATGATGTAATAAACAGTTATGTTAGAATTATACTAAAAATTGGTATACCAAAAGCTCACGCCATAAGAACTGTTTCTGTTTCTTAATCTCCCTCTGGAATTATTAAAGTATTGCTGATTCTGATTTCTGATTCCCATTCGCTACCAGCCTTATCAAAAAGGCCCAGAGACCCCCATGACCATTGGCGTCGGCAGACCCTTTTCACGGGGGCACGTGTCCCGTTGTGGATCTACGGTGCTGGGGCACTGATTTTTTAATTAATTCATTTTCCGCTCTCACAGCGGAGTTGAGAGAGGAGATCTCTCCAAATTAAGCTAGTCACAATTGATCGACAGCTTAGCAAAAATGAAGCTGAGACGCTACCTTTTACTGAAAAAAAAATGATCATATAGTTCTCCTATCTTTCTAGCCGTGATATACACACCTCATATGACCTCACCATCAAACGCTCATAGGGTGGACTGAAATAGAAACGATAAACGTAGACCTGCATGCATATAGAGGTGTTTTATGTTTTTCCTTTAACATTTGCACATTTCCAGTTTTCAGTTTACAACTTCATGTTTGCTGACAGATATTTAATGTAGATAAATTGTGCCTTATTCAGTTGTGGATTAGAGATATACAGTTAAGCTCACAAGTGAGCCAATTCAATTCAGTTTGGTTCAGGTAGATATTCAATGATGCAGAAAATAACAATCTGATCCTAGAATTTATTTATGATGCTTTATAATAATAAATAAGTGCTATAAAATATTTGCTCACGTGCTTGCATTAATTATCTGTGCCCATGCTTTTTTTTTTAAATAAATAATTGCCCAAAAAGTTTTTGGGTTCCCATTTCTTTTTTCTGCCCTATTGTACCCCTGTATAGTATTGGGTCAGCTGACGCCCCTGCCCGTGACACTGTCATTGCCTCTCTCCCTCCCCGATTCAGGACCTGCAAGCTACAGCTGTGTAGCATCTCCAGATCCCCTGCGTTACATTAATGCAGTCTACTGTGTAATTAGTATATAGCTATATTGTATATACTGTAAATAGTATATTGTATATATAACTAATTTGTCTGCACCATCAACACCGAGTCAAATCTCTTGTAAGTGCTAACCTACTTGGCAATAAACTTGATCCTAATTAAATACAAAGAAAATACAATTAACATAATTAATTAAAACACATTTGAGCAGAAGAAACAAAATATTTTTAAAAAGAAACTTGCAGGAACCTACATATTGCATATATGCTGAAGAGGGATAAAGAAATGTAAGTGATATCAACTTTTATCTGCATATTCACCTGATCGCCAAATAACAACTTACTCCTGCTGAATAACCAGAAATTTTACTCAAGTATAAGTAGTGATACTCTCACAGGAATATTATGTAAGTATGAGTTTAAATAAGCTAATGCTAAAAGTCAAATTCTTTCTAAAAATTACTCAAATAAATGTAACTAGTTACTACCCATCTCTAGTTAGACTGATCGTGGATGAAATATTAGTATTTTCCAGGTCCAGTTATTTTAAAAATAGACAATTTTCTGGACTGGAAAAAGATCGTTTTCCAAACAGGGTCTGGTATCAGCACAGGGAGAAAAATCAACCAATTCAAATATATCTTTCTGCATTTTCCATCCAAACCCTCAGGATTACCCAATAAATCCCTTTTTAATCCTAACCCCTGCTTATTTGATTCAGTTTCTAAGCCAAGCAAACAGCAGATTCTGAAAAGGGTTGGAATTCCTCACCTCCTGCACACCCAGGGGAATCTCCGTCAGGTTTTTACCAATGCAGGCCACCGTCAGCTTGGCGTCATCACAGCTGCACTCTTTGGGACATTTTCTGGCTTTGATGGTTGAGCTCAGAGCTAAAGTGAGCAGGAACACTACAGCAGGGAACTGCATCTATGCCAGTAGAGTGCATTAGAATATTAAAACATCCGAGATTATTCTGGAAATCACTATCTCATAGAATATTCCCTTTTTGGTTCTTGGAAATGTGAATGATCAAAACTCCAGACATTTCTTTCTGTGGTACTTAAAGTTGATCTGCAGTGTACGGCTGCAGCTTGAACTCAGACCTTTTATTCTTCAGTTCCTTTACTCTTATTATTTGAAAAAAATACAAGTTTCAATTTATGGTTTATAAACTTGCCATGCACACATAACTATCCAAATGGCAGCTCTAAAAGTAAAGAAGACACAAAGCTAAAGTAAAGCCAAAACAAAATTAGATGCAAATATTAAAGCACAATAATAACAAACAGTAGTGCCTCTTACCTTGGAGTCCAATCCAACATTAACGGTTCCTTTGGTGTTCTTTAAATACTAGCCTGTGGCGGTCCAGTTGGCAGCAAACAAGGCTTTGGTAAATTCCTTTGCTTTGACCCCTGATCTCTCTACTACTCTAAAAAATGTACACACTGGCCTCCCATTTAGAGCCAAGTCAGAGAAACAGAACAAAATCGATTCCTAAAATGTTCAAATTGTTCTAAATCTGTTTTTCCAAACAGGAACAAAATAAGTGTAAGTTTGTAGTTGTAGGTAGACAAAGACAAGTTTCTTTGAATTAAACCAGTTGACCAAAATAAAGTCCATTCTTTCCAGAGATCATTTAGAAACAGTAATCATTACTACCTGGCTGGATTAATGTAATGAACTTTATGAAGGGAGTATTGGCTTCTACAATGCTCAAGTGCAAAATGCTGCAGCATATCTTATCTGGCACTCCTAACACATTACCCTATTTCAGCTTCATCACACTTGCTGCCCGTGTTTTAGGATTCATTCTAAAGTTTTGTTTTCTTCATGGTCTTGCTCCGCCTTATTTCTGACCCGCTGCAGCCTCCTGTTTACTCAGGTCAGCTGCTTCTTCTGGTGCCTAATACTAAAAGGAAGCTTGGGTGTCTAAGAGTCTACCTCTGTGTGATTTTAAATCACTTCTTAAAATCAATTCTATACCTTAGCTTAGAACACTACATGAGATGTTGATGTTAGCCTGCGATATTGAATGTTTTTTTGTTATATACATTTGTTTTTATAATTATTTATACAAGTGTTCCGTTAGCATTTTATTTAATTAAAATGCTCAGTTTGTATGTTGTGTTGTTCTCTGTGCAGCACTTTGGTCCCTGGGAAATGTTAGTGTTTTATAAATATATTTGGATTGGATGTGATTTAAATTTTTACTCACTTTTCATGAATATATATTTATTTAGGAACAAAGACTCAAAGCCATACAACAATCAAACATTTTATTTTTGCAAATCAAATTAAAAAACAGAGCATCTGAGGTTAGAAAAGCATTTCAATTCCTTTCGAGTGGTTCAACTTACCATCCCTTTGTCATTGATATTTCTAAACATCTTGCCGTATTTGTGGCTTTATTAAACCTCTAGAATAAAATAAGAGAATATTTAATTTATTAAACATAAAAGAGATAAGATCTAAGGATTCAGACAGCTCCTGGTCTGATCTCCTCCTGATCACATTGAAGTGTAATCTGTAATCAGGTCAGGTCGGGGGTTTAGAGGGTGCTGCTGTTGCTGCTAAACTGTGGCTTATTCTGAACGGACAAAAGTAGCTCATTTCCAATGCTTTGCATTCAAGTTAAGTCCAACAAAGAAGTTTGATAAAGAAATGCTTTAGATACACAGCAGGGATTTTCCTTATTGTGCCAGAATAGAGATCTTCTCCTGGGCAGCTTCTTTTAATTTTTTTAAGGAGGTGTTTAAAGGTCCATCAGTGAATAGAGTTCAGTCCATGAGCCTCAGCTCTGAGATCGGACTCTCTGCAGTGTGGATTGGAGGCCGTTTCTGGCGTTTCCACATGACTCCAAGGATTTGTTGCTCCTGTGGAGGACAGCACAGAATTTTAACCGATATATTAAACATCATCACTGCTGCATCACAGAGCTTTGCAGAAGTATCATAGTACCACAAACTGTGATGTAGTTATTAAAGGGATTTTATTTATTAGGCCCCCACAAAGTAGTGCATTACTGTAAAGTGGAAGGAAATGATAAACGATTCAAATAATTTTAGAAATACATTTGGAAAAAAGGATTACATGCATTTATATTCAACAAAATCTGAGGCGTTAAAAGCTCAGGATGTTTAATGCCTATCTGTATCTCAGCTTTGCTTCCTGGCTTTCATAATGTAATTTATTCACTAATGTTTTCATTTGAAGGCCATCACAGACCAGGTGAATAAGCATCTTAAAGGTATAGTGTAGGATTTTCAAGAAATTTTTGAAAAGACCCGCCCTCTCCACTAGAAAAAAAAAAAATGCACAAGTAAAACCCTGTACCCGCTACCAAGAGGGAATGCCTATTTAATGCATGCATGAGCGTGCACAAGCTCATTTCTCCTCATGCACGCTCAGTTTAAAAATTGCTGTTTGCATCGCTCATAAAAGCTTAATTTCTAAAGATTTGTAATTTTCCACTACTTCAGGCTCAAAATTTTAGGGCACCCGCGCATATGAAATATCCTAAAACCTCAGGAATATGTTAAAAAGTTTACTTTTCGTTCATATTACAATCTGTTTTCTTCAGTTTGCGATAGGGGAGGTATTTCTCGGCATAGGGTTAGGTGAAAATGGGGACGAGAACGTAGGACGGCCTTACGTACATATCACCAGAATGATTGACAATTACTTAGATGATCCAACACCCAAAAGAACACCCTCCACTATACCTTTAGGGAAGTTTTCATTCACCTTAAAGAAAACTAAACAATCATGTCTTTTTCTGCTTTTAGTTCTTAGAGGATATTGAGAACCTTTTAATTAATGATGATGAACCGCTTTCTCATGAAGTCATCTAGTCAAATAAACAGTTTAGTACAATTTCTTGCAATGGTATGAAGTTTGTAAAAAGAAAAACATTTCAAGGGTTGTGACAACCCCACAGACTGCTGAAATACACCCCCTTGCTGCTGGATTTTAACACCCAAACCATAAAAACCCCTACAGTAAGCCACAGTTATTGAAGTGTCCACCACCATCAAACAGGCGGGTTGTAAACATTGCATTTTGTACCTGGAAGCTGCATGCTGATTGGCTCATTCACCACGCCCTTACCGAGACATGAACGCCTCGAGCACTGCCACGTTTTCTTTGGGGAAGTAGTCCTGCCGAGCGACGTGCTCCAAGGCATGGAGATGACCCGGGACGACGAGCACGGGCTTGATCTTGTCCTCACTCTGAGCAGCACAGAGGGCAGGATGGTGGGACGGATGGGGGGAACAAGAGGACAACTGAAGACTGGACAAAGCTAAATCAAACGTGTTGATTGTGTCCTGATAAAGCTTACCTTGATGAGCCCCAGAAGCACTAACAGGATGGACACAAAGCTGTAACCTTGAAACGAAGGACTGCTGAAGGCTTTACTCAAGAGGGCGTCTGGGAGGAGAAAAAGTTTCTCAGCTAAAACAAGTTAACTCAAACTCTGAAACTACTAAATAACACAACACAGCAATGTTACAATGGCAGTTTTACATAGGGTGAACTTTATACGATGGAATTTTCCAGTGATTATACCACATAAACTACATCAAACAGTTGAGTAAAAATCTATTTAAAATAAAAATATTTCAGCTATTTATTTCTAGGAGTCATTAAATGCCAAAACAGATAAAACGTTTAAAAAAAAAAAAAGAATAAAAACATTAGGCCACATTGTGAATAAAAGCAGGAACCATTCACCCAACCGAAGTTCATGCTTCTTACCAATCGTATCCAGCACTGCATTCTTGACATCATTAATATCCTCCTTATACACAGAAGCGATCTTCAAGAAGGCTTCAGCTGTCTTTCGTGCATCTGTCACGTCCACCTGGATGGAGAAACAGATGGAAGCGTTTGTGGATTTTACTGCCAAGTTAGACTTTTCCACACTGAGGCCATGTTCACACAGCAGGCTTTAATGCTCAGTTCTGATGGTATTTCTTTGGTCTTTAATGTTTCCAAATGTTTCATATTTCCAAATGTATGCTACTTGTATGTCATCTCCTGTGTGAACTGAATTAATAATACTTAGTAAAGGGAGCAGAGACATCACAAGTAGGGAGCGTGGTCTGCTTGCTAAAGTAAACATGGATGTTAATTCTGGAGCACAATTTGTGCTTTTAATTTCTTTTCCAACGGGCGGCCAAAGCATTAACAGCGCAACATTTTTTTGGCCATCTGTGGGCCTGAATAGAGCTATACCCACAAATATTTTAAATCAGAAATTTTGCTTTCTCTCCATTGGAACAAAGTAGTCAAGTGCCCCTCCTTGACATGTGAACAAAAAACTACCCAGATCTCTGACAATCACCTCGCGCTGCCTTACCAGTACCCATAGAAACCGTCCCACAGCCTTTATTACTTCATTCCCATGAAATTTTTAATATTAAAGGCCTATAACAAGTCTCTGGTATTTATCTGTTTCAGAGACGCAGCAAAGACTCTTGAAGCGTGGCTTTTCTTTATAGCTGCAATGGTTGTTTTTATTTTGACCAAACTTTTCATCTTCTAACGATGTTCCAAATTTGGGACATTGTTTAAATTTGTTGGGCACAGAGACTGAAGGGGGAAAAAAAATCTGCACAGATCGGGATCTGCTCACCCTGTGTAGTAGGAGCCATTATGTGCACAGCATAGTCAGTGGGACATAGAAATAAAAACAGCAAATCTGATGCGGGATATAAATGTCAGAATCAACCAGTGTAAACGGGGCTTCAGTGTGTTTTCAGTATGCAGTATGTTTATTCAAAAACAAAATGATAGAGAAAATGCTTAAAACAAATAAATAAAGAGCAGAGAAAAACAAGCTACATATGAAAAAAATAAAAACAATAAAAAAATAAAACATTACTTTTTTTTCAGAACAGGAAAACAAATAAATAAACTTTTCCAGGCTGTATAGAAACCATAAAAAGAGGAACTGTGATCAAAATGTAGGAAATCGATGTGGAGGGGTGATTTTTCCACCTTAAAACCCAAGGCAGGTGAGCATTAGCATGATAGGGTGTATTCTGAAAAACCAACGCTGCCTTCCTCGTGTCCCATGTTTCCTTACCTGCTGCTGTACTAGCATTGCTCTCTTGGCGCCAAGTTTCAACAGTTTGTCAGGAGACGGGAAGCTGAGGAAAGAAGAGACGTCTGGAGGCCGCTGCGCCGACACAGGGGTAGAGAGCTTTGAGGAGGCAAAGAAAAGAAAGGAAGAATCTTAAGTCACAGACATGAGGTAACTATTTTAGAAAAGACTGATTGTTGGAGCCGTTTTGCATCTCTTTTGTTTTTCTTTTTGTTTTCTGAATTTATTATGAACTTATTGGCATTCTAATTCTCCTGATTTAGTTTTGAATCATTAGTTGGAAATATGTCTGTTTTCATTCTGATTTGTTCATATGCTCTCTTCCTGTCTGTGGGCGTGAC